AAAAACCCTTCCCAAACCCTAATCCTAACCTTAATATTAACTTTAACGTGAAAAAATTGGTGTTCAAAATTTAATATACAAAACTTATAAAAACTTGGAAATTTTTAAAAAACATAATAAAAACATATAATAGGTGCAAAATCACCATAGGTGCGTTTTATAATAATTGATAAAAATTAAGAATCGCAAATCATATGAAATATATAAAATAACGGCAAAATAAATTTCTAAAGATTAAATTGTTTATTACTATAAAGCGGATTCAAATTTTTACTAAGTAAACTGCAATTGAACTTCTAAAAAAAGTTGTAGAGAAATTTATACGATTATAATGCTAGTAAAATAATCAATTTGACCCAATATATCAAAATATATTCACATTTTACTTTTCACGACTATAAAATTTTTTTTACAAAACAAAATTTTATAATCGTGAAATGTAAAATGTGAATATGTCTTGATCTAACGGACCGGATTTGATGATTTTACCAGCATTAGAATTGTATGAATGTCTTCAACTTTTATTAGAAACTCAAGTATACCGTATAAGCGCGTAATAACGCCCATCTGCGCGTTAATTGATTGACCTGCGCGTTATTTCGAGTACGCCCATGTGCGTTATTTCGAAATAAGAGCTGATTCTAAGCATTTACGATTGCTACTTTTAAACAAATAGCAAAAGTATATGTCACACCATTTGATGTTAGCAAGTCCTTGAAGTAGTTCATAACATTACTAGAGTTTGGTTTGTTCGCGATTTACGTCCATTCATTTTCTATTTAGGACTGCACAGTCCCAAAAATAATGAAAACGATTACAAGTTATATCGGGTGCGCGTTAATTCGGGACGCCTATGGGCGCTAATTTAAGACACTATTTGCTATTTTAGGGGGATCCAGATTTCGAAATAACGCCCGTGAGCGTTATTACGTGCTTATACGGTAGTTAACTTAGTAAAAAATTGAGCCCTGACTATATAAATGATTATCTCTTTGTTATCAACCCCAACATAATCACCTGATCCCGAAGGACGATTGTATAATAAACAGTATATGTCAGTATTCTATGAAAAAAAAAGGACAGTACTTTCATGCATGTATATATTTTTTTCATACCGTATTTTCGCGTAATAATGCGTTATTTAGAAAATCGCGCTCCTTGAAAATGGCATGCGTAGTTTCAAAATAATGCCCATGCGCGTCCCAAAGAACAGCAGAGACAGTGCCCGATCCAGTGAATCCCTCTCCTCTGATCAATCACAAATTGAATTATTTATATTGGATTCAATTGTGATGGATATAATCCCTCACCAATTTTAATGTGTAACATTAACGGTCTCTGCTGTTGTCTCAAAGTAATGCGTGCCCATATAAAGAGCGGCTTAAATTCGCTTAATCAGAATATTTCAAATACTCCGATTGACAAATAACTATTATACATACCAGCTAATCGGCTTGGGTAAGAAGAGATTTAAGAAACGATCTATAGGCGTTATTTTGAAGATCATGCCTCAAAAATAACGCCCATGCACGTACTCTCAATAAAACCACTACAAATTAATTCTTTGTTCGACATATGAAAATGTCTCGTAAGAGGGGGGAGGGCATAAAAAAAACAACAATTAACAAAAAATACAGATTCTATTGGCTATAAAAAAATGTGTCGCCAAGAGAAAACCAGACTTCGGGCTTTTGAATTTATTATTGACCGGAATCAGATCTGACTTATGATAAGTAATAGAAATCAAGCTTCTAATCGTTTCCGATTGATTCATCGAATGATTAGAAAATTCTTTGTATACATGCTTGATACGTTACTGATACAATTTCTCAAGTTTGAGTCCAACAAAAAATATAATTGAAAGCCTGATTCTGATTTTCCCTCGGAGTAAACATATAAAAAATATGAAAAGTAATACGATTTGATTAATATTATTTTTTCATATAAAGTTTTAAAAAATAAGGAGGGGTTATGTTATTAAATCAAGAATCAATTTGGAACGACTTAACGCGCAAATAATAATATTTTTTCATGTAAAGTTATAAAAAATAAGGGAAGGGGTTATGTTAAACAAAGAATTAATTTGGAGCAACCTAACGCGCAGATGGGCGTTATTACGTGAAAATACTGTATCAATTCCTTAACGATAATACTTAGGAATGATCCTATCCATCAGTAATTTGACTTTGATAAAAAGCAAACATGTTATTAGATAAAGCATTCTGCTTAGACAAATAATATTCTCTAATCAGATAAATGTCAGAATAGATTTATTGTAATTTTGAGTAGAATTATTGACTTTAAAATGATTTTGGACGAAATGAGTTCTATTAATAAGATTAAGAGATAAATTCAAGGTTTCAATTTTAAAAGTTTCAATTTAATTATCTTGTTTTGGATTATTGGAATATGAACTTTTTCGTCGAAATCAAGTCTTCTGGAATATCGTACGTTAAACGAATCTTCCACTAATGCAAAACTTTCTGTGATTACTCGATTTCAAAAAGGATACGTTAAATGCAAGCTTAAATAAATGCTTCTAATTAGTCGAAAATACATACTTCTATAAAGTACGGGAAGATCATGGTTATGCGATAGTTATAGTTTGGCTTGTATGATACCTATTCAATCACGGTACATGAAAAGGAATTTATCTATCGTATATCAGTAGTTGACGCCAAATTTAAGAAACACCATTAATAGAGATACAAATCATGTTGTATCTAAAAGAATAAGTATACAAATCGTATTTTATCTAAAGAAATAAAATATACAAATCGTTGTGTACTTAAAAAAAATGTTTTTGAAAGCTTTATTTAAAGAAACTCAACTTCTGCTTCACCAAACAAACTATTTTTGGTAGCCACCAAAATTTCTTCTATATTGTTTTCTTCTATACCATCACTTTCACATGATTCTTCCTCAAATATTTCAGATAAATGTGTACGAGTAAAGCGAAGAATATGCCGATTCATCTGATCAAACTCAATAAGAAAACCATCATGTCCATCCAGCGATTTAATGGTTACCATCTCAGAATTTGGTATAAATTCTGCCAGCTCATATTGTTCAGATATAGTAAAAAGACCATCTGACTCGATTCCTTAAATAAAAAAGAGATATTAAATATTTTGACATAGAAATTCCAAATAATGTAGTAAATAAGTGATAGATGTCAGTACTTACCGATTATACAAGTTGGTTGTTTAATGCTACCTAATACCTCATTCAAATCACCTCTATCTTTTGTTATATCATAAGCATCCATCTTCCGTGTAAGACTTATATAACAATTAGCATCAAACCTTTTAACAAATTTATCACCTTGATATCTAAGATACGACTGTGCTGAAAATAAATGCGGTACAGCAGCAGTTGAATGTACATTGTTGTTTTCCAGATTATATTCTTTGTTATCAAGTGGCTCAATATTATCGTTATCTTGGATATTTGCTTGTTTTAAGGCTATATTATTGTTTCCGTTTTGATCCCTTGACTTTAAAGACTTGCCATTAACATTATTACATCGAAGGCCATCATTATGTAGAAATAACGCATACTCCGCTGGTGTTTTTGCTTTAACGAATGAGAAACCATTGACTGTTGGATTTTTATTTAAATCTTGATATGTACGACCAAATCGAGACTCGAAAGAATCTCGAGAACGATATGTTAGAAGCGCAGACATGCGTGCAGCTGCAAGACCTGCTGCTGGTTGCTACAAAAAAAATTGACGCCAATAAATATTTAAATTAAAATAAATTTCTCAATTATTTGAACATAGTAATACCTCATTTAACCGATAAAATCCATTATCTTAAAATTGTAAGTTGGTTAAAAATTTTTAAATGACTCAAAATAAACCCAATAATACCAGTAAAAATACCCACGATATTTTTGATCGCTATAAATAGATTGTCTCTGAGCCTCGCTCCAACTTATACACCATGCGGATTGTCGAGCAGAAGTGGCAATAGGAATAATTGTCTTTACATATTCAATTCCAAAAAATGACCACTCAAGCACTTGCATACCACCCATGGAACCGCCTATGCGATAGTTATAGTTTGGCTTGTATGATACCTATTCAATCACGGTACATGAAAAGGAATTTATCTATCGTATATCAGTAGTTGACGCCAAATTTAAGAAACACCATTAATAGAGATACAAATCATGTTGTATCTAAAAGAATAAGTATACAAATCGTATTTTATCTAAAGAAATAAAATATACAAATCGTTGTGTACTTAAAAAAAATGTTTTTGAAAGCTTTATTTAAAGAAACTCAACTTCTGCTTCACCAAACAAACTATTTTTGGTAGCCACCAAAATTTCTTCTATATTGTTTTCTTCTATACCATCACTTTCACATGATTCTTCCTCAAATATTTCAGATAAATGTGTACGAGTAAAGCGAAGAATATGCCGATTCATCTGATCAAACTCAATAAGAAAACCATCATGTCCATCCAGCGATTTAATGGTTACCATCTCAGAATTTGGTATAAATTCTGCCAGCTCATATTGTTCAGATATAGTAAAAAGACCATCTGACTCGATTCCTTAAATAAAAAAGAGATATTAAATATTTTGACATAGAAATTCCAAATAATGTAGTAAATAAGTGATAGATGTCAGTACTTACCGATTATACAAGTTGGTTGTTTAATGCTACCTAATACCTCATTCAAATCACCTCTATCTTTTGTTATATCATAAGCATCCATCTTCCGTGTAAGACTTATATAACAATTAGCATCAAACCTTTTAACAAATTTATCACCTTGATATCTAAGATACGACTGTGCTGAAAATAAATGCGGTACAGCAGCAGTTGAATGTACATTGTTGTTTTCCAGATTATATTCTTTGTTATCAAGTGGCTCAATATTATCGTTATCTTGGATATTTGCTTGTTTTAAGGCTATATTATTGTTTCCGTTTTGATCCCTTGACTTTAAAGACTTGCCATTAACATTATTACATCGAAGGCCATCATTATGTAGAAATAACGCATACTCCGCTGGTGTTTTTGCTTTAACGAATGAGAAACCATTGACTGTTGGATTTTTATTTAAATCTTGATATGTACGACCAAATCGAGACTCGAAAGAATCTCGAGAACGATATGTTAGAAGCGCAGACATGCGTGCAGCTGCAAGACCTGCTGCTGGTTGCTACAAAAAAAATTGACGCCAATAAATATTTAAATTAAAATAAATTTCTCAATTATTTGAACATAGTAATACCTCATTTAACCGATAAAATCCATTATCTTAAAATTGTAAGTTGGTTAAAAATTTTTAAATGACTCAAAATAAACCCAATAATACCAGTAAAAATACCCACGATATTTTTGATCGCTATAAATAGATTGTCTCTGAGCCTCGCTCCAACTTATACACCATGCGGATTGTCGAGCAGAAGTGGCAATAGGAATAATTGTCTTTACATATTCAATTCCAAAAAATGACCACTCAAGCACTTGCATACCACCCATGGAACCGCCTATGCATATGGCAATCTGTTTGACGCCTAACATATCAAGAATTATTTTATGGAGCCTTGTATTTCAAAAAAATTGGTTAAT